TTGCCACACCCCGATGGCCCTATAATTAATTTTAGCTTGGAATTGTCGGCAATGAACCTGCAAAATTTTTTCGAAAAATATTTCATGCAAATGTAAGTATTGAGTTTTTGTTTACAATGTTTTATTCGTTAAACTAATAAATCTACTTATATATTTTTCATTTTAGTGTTTCCTTAAAAATAATTTATTCTACAGTTTGCGGTTACGTAAGCATATGAATTGTCGTATTAATATATTATTAATGTAAATTGTATATAAACTAACTTGTTCCTATCATAATATTCCTACAATTTTTATATTATTTTTAATCAAAATGATTAAAATTAGTCGTACTAAAAGAAGAAAAATAAAAGAATTTTTAGACTTGATAATTAGTACAACTGAAAACCACCCTCCTACTTCAAGCTGTTCAAATTTGGTACCACCTGCTGATAATTTTATAAATTTTTATGATCATCCTATGGAGTTTATGACTTTTAGTTCATGTGATTCTACCTTAAATATTGATAGTGAACCTTCATATTTTATTGATCCACCTGCAAATGTTATCGAACTTATTACTGATGTTGAGCAAGAGCCATTACCCGTAGTAGACTTTAAGGATGATTTAGCTTCTTGGGCAGTTGAGTACAAAATACTTTAAACGCCGTGAATGGTTTACTTTCTGTATTGAAAAGGCATGATTGTTTCTCTAAATTACCAAAAGATAGTAGGACTCTTTTAGGTACTTTCCAAAATAAAAATTATCCTATTCGAACAGTAGAGCCAGGAATTTACTATCATTTTGGTATTGCTAAAGGTGTAGCGAGCTGTGACTATGATTAATAATTAGTAAATCACTCAAGTAGTTATAAATAAACATGTGAAACACACAATGTAACTTCAAAGAACAAGAATAACTCTATATATATATATATATTAGTTGAAGGAGGCCTACAAAGCGTCTATTTGTTATAATAAATTGCGCGTGACCTCGAAACGTATATGTTCATAAATATATCACTCCTCTGAGGAGTCTCCTCATATGAATATTATTAAAATAGTTCACATCAAAGGCGTTGTTTTGCCTCAACAGAGATGACAACGACCAGATAGGCAAGGGACATCCGGTGTGTGAAGCGCGTGGCCACCCACTGTATGACCTTTTATGGTAAAGTAGTAGGGTACTAAGCAGGGATACGATCCAAGGATCGCCATTATAAAATACGTCGCTCGAATAGGCTTCGGCAGACGGACCAACACCAACGATGAGCTAGGAGCTAGGAGTTTAACAGTCGCATCTCGCTAGTTCCCATTCTTTAATTATAGTCAATGTGGACTTAGGAAATTTATCGTTTTGTAATAATCAAATAAAAGTATTTAATTTATAAAGAAAAAACCACTCTTCTTCATTTAATTTTACAATACCAACAAATAGACGTAGTCGGTTTGTTGCAATTGGCGCTGTGGACAGGGTTTTGCAAAAAGAAAAAAAATTAAACATTTTAATTTAAACATTATGATGTTAATTCTTATAAAGATGTTGATTTTATACAAATTGCTGTAGGTTTTGATGGTTTACCTTTATCCCGGTCTAGTAAAAGTCAGTTTTGGCCAATATTGGCATACATCAGAAATTCGTTTAATAGTAAAGATAAAGTTTTCCCTATAGGTGTTTATCACGGTGATGCTAAGCCTAAAGACAGTGATGATTTTATATTAGATTTTGTAAATGAAGCTGTAAATTTATCTACTAATGGTTTAGATATTAGCGATAAACACTTTAAAATTTTATTTGATCTTTTTTGTTGTGATGTTCCTGCTAAAAGTTTTATTCTTAAAATTAAAGGTCATTCTGGGTTCTCTTCATGTACTCGATGTTTAATTGATTAAATTGTTTAATCATATAAATAAAAGGGTTTGTTTTCCGTATTGTAAAACTGAGTCAGCCATGAGAAATGATTATGAATATCGTAATGTTGTACATGAAGAATTTCATACATCCCCAAACATATCTATTATTACTAAAATCCCAAACTTGGATATTACTAAATCATTTATGTTGGATAATATGCATTTAACCAATCTAGGAATAATGCGTAAAATGATTTCATTTTGGGTATCGAAAGGTCCATTAAATGTGCGTCTTTCTGGTAGAATGACAAATGAAATTACTTCACGGTTATTAAACATGAGATCTACTATGCCTTGCGAATTTTCAAGAAAGCCTCGAGAAATCCAAAGTTTTTTTTCAGTGGAAAGCAACCGAATTTCGATTGTTTTTAGTTTATCTAGGGCCTTTTGTTCTAAAGAATATATTGTCTCATGATTGCTATGTTAATTTTATGTCCTTAAATGTGGCCATGATAATTTTATTAAGTCCAAACAAAAGTGATTTTACCGAATATGCACAACAATTAATTGAATATTTTGTGATGGTCTTTTATCAGATTTATGGAAATTACAATGTATCACACAATGTTCACGGACTTCTTCATCTTATAACTGACTATCATAATTTTGGCCCATTAGATCAGTGCAGCTGTTACCCTTTTTAAAATTATATGAAAGTATTAAAATCTGCACTTCGTAAACATGAAAAACCATTACGGCAGTTTATCCATAGGTATGAAGAACAGTGTAATTTTCCAAAAAAAATAATATCCAAAAAACCTATTTTGAATAAAGATAACTTTATGTTTAAAAAAATACATTCTAAGGGTCCCTTGCCCAAGGATATAATAGGTCCTCAATATCAATGTTTACATTTTAGTAGTTTTATGTTAAATACTACTGTTGATCGAGAAAGTTACCTAATGACTAACTGTGGTAAAATAGTAAAATGTATAAACGTTGCTAATAAACTAGTTAATAATAAGAAAGTCCCAGTTATTGCTGGTCAATATTTCATTAACAAAAGTCCAGCTTACATTAATCCCCTTTCCTCTGACTTGTTTGATATCTATAAAGTTGAAAATATTTCATCTGATGTAATTATTTTAGATATAAATACAATTAAATATAAAATAATGGTCATTAATGTCGAAAAAGAAATTATTACCATACCAATATTCCATTCAGACTGTTAATTTTACCTTATGTCTGTTAACACTATTAATAATCTGTTAATATTTTTGGTATACTTCTAACTAAATCTTATTTAATAATTAAACTTTTTTAAACGTTTTATGCTTAATTTTTATCATTATAATGTTATATGTATATAGCTTATATAATTTTAAACTTAAGAGACATTATAGCATACAGTTTATACATAAAATATTTAAATATTAATAAAATAAAAATAAAATAAATATTTATTTCAAACATTTATAGTGGGAATGCAATAAATAGGTTTTTCAATAAATAAATATTTACAATTTTCTTATAATTTTAAATATTTTATCTAACAGTTTTGAAGTAAACCTTCATAATTATTATAATGACTACTTATACACTTAATTGCTATTTAACGTAATATGATATAGTATGGTTAGTTTAATATATGATTTAGACAATGTGCTAAAACAAATAATTTATTTTCATATCAATCAGATTTTGTCATTTTTCAATATATGTGTATTGCATACCTATAGTATGATGAGTAAAAGTTCGATTGAAAATTGCTTGCATTTTAAAGTACAATACTGATATTTAATTTAGTTTTAGTTTATTTTAATGTTTTATTATTTAAATTTTTGTTAAGGGAAGACATTTGTCTTATTTAGTACTTACTGACAATATTCTTTTCAAAATTAATGACTTACAACTTCAAAACTGAAGTTCCTTTCTTTCAAAAGACTTAACTAGGTATGTTATTACCACTGATCTTTCATTATTTAACAAGTTAATAATTAGTAACAAATGTGATAAATACTTTAATTAAACTGTCATTTGTGTTAAGTAATGTCTTAGCTAACTGAGATCAATCACCCTAAGTTTGTTATTATAATTTATGATTTTATTTTGTTTTATTATTATTCACAGGAAGTTAACAATTTTAAATATAATATATTTGACAAGAAATGTTTATGACTATTCCTCCTGACACCCTCCTAGATCTTTGAATGTCATTCTTGAAAAATGCATAAATATGTACTTAACACATGTGTGCGCATCGATATATTAGGTATCTAGCTATATAATTATTAAATAGGCCATATACGCTAATATCTAAGTTATGAATTAATTGTTTGCTATTTATTTTGTATGAAACAATAATTAAAATGCAAAAAATGTAGATAACAAATATTTTTCAAAGAGAGTATAATAATATATAGATTGCATACATTTTAAATTTAAAAATAATAAATAAATAATAACAATTACAGTGATATTTAACAAATTATATGGAGTATGTCTAGATATATGTTACATAAATATTAATAGGTGTACCTAGCATATAGTTTGATATTTACCAATATCTCACTAAATTAATTTGAAATGGAGAAAATAATTTTTAGTTTACAAATCATAGTAAAATGTATTAAGAAATAAATACTATTGTATATTTATTGTAATATTTATGGAAATGAAGTAAAATAATTTGTTTAAATAAAAATGTCAAATTTTAAATAACAAACATAAAGTATAGCCAGAATAGGTACCTATTTTGTACTCATTTAATATAATTTAATTTTGTTATGCAATTACATATATAATAAAATTGCAAACTTTTTAAATATGAATAAGAAACAAATGATGATGTGTTTAAAATTATATTTTGAAATACCTAGGTATTTGGATGATATTTTTTAATTTCAAACTATAAAAATGTACAGAACTCAACATTTATGCCTATCAAACTTGATAATAATGTTTAGGTTATTATAAAAGAGTCTAATCCTAAGTCTAACCAAAATCCATAATTAATTATTATCATTGCACATACCTATTCATTTGGTAAATAACAAGTTTAATATTTCAATAATACATCATAACATTATGAATTATCATAGCTTAAATATGTAATACCTACCTAATATATAAACAAAATATATAATCTTTTAAAAAAGTGATATTTTGATTATTAGACTTATTAAAATTGTTGATATTGTAGTGGTCCAGCGTCCAGCCCACAGATCGTGGTGTATAAGACAAGAGATGACGAGGTGTAAATAATTCTAAGTCAATTGTAGAATATTATGTATTATAATGACTACTTATACACTTAATTGCTATTTAACGTAATATGATATAGTATGGTTAGTTTAATATATGATTTAGACAATGTGCTAAAACAAATAATTTATTTTCATATCAATCAGATTTTGTCATTTTTCAATATATGTGTATTGCATACCTATAGTATGTGGGTCGTCGTCCATTTTACAAAAGACAATAGTGTCGAGGCTATACCAAGTACATGGTATAATGATGGTACTTGTGCAAGGCCAAATAAAACTATAAATGCAGTTCGGGCTATTCAAAAAAGAGCACTACCCAATAAATTAGAATTAAAATGGTTAAATGCTAGAAAACTAGGTTCTATGTCTGGTAATTATATTCTGAATCATAATCTATATGATGACTAAATTTTATTCCATTTTTTAAAATTTAAATTAACTGAATTTAAAAATTAGGTATATTAACTTAACTTTTATTTTGTATATTTACTATTTTTTACTGTCAAAATTCTTAAATTCCTCAATACTAAAAATAAGTATGATCCACATACCTGATGAAATATATTATTTATCAAATTTATTTACAGATTCTTATGAAGAAGCAAAACGTAAAGCAAATATTGCTCAAGAATCATCTGATTTATCTGAAGTAAAACTAAAAGAAACACGTAAACAACGAGCTAAAGTGGTAGAAAGCTCTCCTTCACCTTCTCCTGAAAAATCTAAATCTAAATTACAAGAAAGAAGTTTATTAACACCACCCAAAGTATTTAGTTACTATTTTCTGATTCCAAAATTAGAATACCGTTAATATAATATAAAATAAATGCTAATTTAAATTTAATTTTTAGAAAATAAAAAACGAATCCTTACGATGAAGATTCTCTTAGCATTGACTCATTTGATGATAACGATAAAGATCCAGATTTTATTCTCAAATGTAAGTGTGATAATTGATTTCTAGAAGAATTATACTTATTTATATGTATAAGTTATTATATGTTATTTTTTAGCTCCAGATATTTGTGAAATTAGCTCACCAATCGGAAAGATAAGAGTAGAATCAATATCTGATTCAAAAGTAATGAATAACAAAAAAACTGAGTTAAATTCTACTTTTAAATCTATGACTGATGTACTTCAGCACTCCATCTCATCTACTAGTAAGCACCAAAAAGTACATGCGAAAAAAAACCTTTTCAATAACTCGCAACTATACCGTAAGATTCTTGATTTATTTACAAACTTTATTTATACAATATTAAAACTATTTATCAAATTGTTGAAATTCATTTGTTCATTGATCCAAATAGGTTCACCAATTAAGCAACAAAATATGGATATATCTCCTTCCTATAAAAATATTAATTTAGAGTTTTCTTCAGATTTTAGTTTATTGAGTCAAGGTAATGAATTACAATGTAATTTTTCTGTTAAAATAATAATAATTTTTTTTTATATTTAATAGGAACAAATTATCAACTAAAAAAACTTGAAACAGTCAAAAGTAACAATTTGGATGGTTTGATGAGTGCTGCAGGTAACCATATTATTAACAATTATTCATGCGTATTCTTATTATAACCGTTTATAATGTTACAATTTGAGTTTGATAACACCTAGAGAAAGTAATAAAAAAGTGTTTCAATTTTCATTTTATTTTAGATTTTCAAAAACACACATTATCTGCATTGACTCATATCAGGTTTGAAGTTAACGATTTGGCATCCACTCAACAAATAATTGCAACAAACATTGAAGCATTAA